TATATATATATATATATATATATATATATATATATATATATTAAATTTAATATAATAATATGAATATTTTCATATTATCTCATCTTTGTTTTCTTCGGAATTTTCTAATTCTTCCGGTTTTTCTTCATCATCTGATTGTATTTCTTCAGAAAGAATAATATTCGGAAAATATAACTTTGATTCTTCTGTACCTTTTTCTGGATTTTCACTTACATGATAGGGTCCAATGCCAGCAAATCCTAAAAATGCTTCACATCCGACTTTTTTTACGACACATACAAATGTTTCATATCTAAAAATTAAATTCATGTTCTTATCTTTAATATTATTAACTAACATATATATCTTTTAAAAAAATTTTTCTAATCTTTCTTAATACCCTGTTCTTTCTTTCGTATTCAATTCAAATTCTGTAATACTCTTTGCTATAAGTTTTGCTTCTGGTGGTTTATCAGATTCAAAAATGCCAAAATTAACTACTTCATCTTCAAATTCTTGTAAAATCATTTTTAGCTCGTTCTTTCTTGTATAGTCATATTTGAATAGTACTATAGGTACTTTTGCAATTTTATCTTCATACTTTGAAATTTAAATATCCATATAACACGTGATATTTATTTTATAAATACTAAAATTTAAAACTTACGGGATATGTATTGATAATATATGTAGGAAATATTGTGCGAAAAATAATTGCCTTATTTTTGCAATTTGGTGGTGTCCATACAATTGGAAAAATTTCATTTTCATTTTCGTTTGTTATATAAGCAGGACGATGTCGACCAGCGTAACTATAAACGAAGAAAAATTAATTAATTCTTTTAAATTAGAATTGATATCAATTTTAAAATTTTATTATGAAACATATTGATAAGTATATGTTTTAAATGAATAATAATTTTATTTAACTATTGTATATGTTTACATACTATTCCTCGCTAACAATAGTTTCCATATTAGGTAATTCCGGTTTTCCAAATAAAAGATTCAATAAATATTTATGAATATCAATTTCTGATTTCGTTTCCTTAATTTTTAATCGCATAAACATACATTTTCCATCTAAAAGCAGTTGTTTAGCATTTGGCGATAATATGTAATCAGACTGTAAATTTATTTAATTTTGAATATTATTTACATAATCATTCATTTGTAATAAAATTTTTTTAATAATATATCGATGTATTACTTCATTAAATATCATAGCCAGAATATCATCATTAAGACGTTTTCGAATTTCTTGTTCGATAATGTAATTTCCTAATAATAATTCTTCAACTAATTCTATATATGGTGGACTTGATTTTTTATCTCTCTTACGACCTTCTTCATCCTTAAAAACCCACGGATAAAGTAAAAGACAAGTTTCATTGCTCAGAGCAGTGGTTAAATGCAGCATTTCGGCTTCATATCGTGCTTTTGCTTCAGCTTCTATTAAATGTATGATATGCGAAAATGTCACATTAGTGTTATCATTAGTGTTATTACAACGAATTCATATATTTATTCATTTATTAAATTTTAATTACTTTAATAAAACATGTATAATAAACCATTGTATATTTCTATGATTGTATCTATAAAAATTAATTTAAAATTAATAAAATTTAAAATAAATAAAAAAAATAGAAATTAAATTTTAATAAAAAAAATTAAATTAAATTAAATAAAAATCATAATATAAAATAATGTATTTTATTTAAATTATGCGAGATAATTTTTACAGTAATATGCTATATATTTTTTATAGTTATCTTATAAAACCTTTTCGTGATTTTTTTTGCAGCTTCTTTAGCTATTTTAGTTTCTTCAATAATTTTTAATCGTTTTATTTCTTCTGGACTTCTTTCCGATATATCTAAAGAAAACCTATATGTGTACGTCAAAAAAGTGAATGTTATATCGTTTTAATATATATTTTATAAAATAATTTGTTTTTAAGTAAGAATGTAATTTATAATAGTTCTTTTGTTATTAAAAACTAAATTATTCATTCTTATTTTTTATGTAAGTAATAATGCTTTAATTAAATATATAATTAATTATACTCGTGTTCCTCGCCACTTTGTACTCGTTGCAATTCTATCGTTAATACTTTTAATAGCTGTGGGCATTGAGCACCAAATACAAGATTTATCATCCGGCCATTCTACAAAAATTATTTTGATAATACATATTTTCTAATCAATTATGCATTAAACTTACGCGTATGAACATCCATGTTGGTTCACTTTTTCCTTGAAAACGCTCTAAGTCCGTAATATAATCACATTTTGCCTAGATTTGTAATAATATATAATAATAATTATTTATTCTTACTTATAAATTAATAATTATTTACAATTAGAAATTACCGTGGCATAACTTAAGGCATCTCCTCCAATTTCCATTTTGATTTTTTTTGAGAGTGCTTACCATTCCTGTGCAAGGTCCACTCCATTCTGAATATATATCAACAACTAAAAAAGATTATTAAAAATTTTATATATAAAATTTTAAAAAGTTTAAAAAAAGAAAAAAGAAAAAAAATTCTAATTTTAAATAGATATTTATATTTACCTATTAAACCTGTTTTTGTGAGAAGTTTCTCCCATTCTTCGTTGTTAGAAATTTCAATTTGTAATGCCGTCGGTGTTGTCTTTTTAGCCATTTTTCTTGCAGAATTTAAACCACCCTATAAAAAATTAATTATTAAAATTTTTTTAATATGCAAAATATATTATCAAGTTTATCAAAATTTCAAAAATAATGAAAGGAATTTTAAAATAACTTACTTTAAAAAAAATTATGTGGAAAACTTAAAAATTTAAAATTTAAATAATTGTAATACAATCTATTAATATATATAGTTAACTTAATTTAGTTAAAAAATTAAAAAATTAATTGTAATTCATAATGATTAAAAATGATTAAAAGATGAAACGAAAACGTAATATACCTTTTTTCGCCTCATCATGTTTCTAAGATACGTATATCAAATTTCGATTTAAAATTTAATTTAATATTTTATTTTTTGGCGATATTAAAATTCAATCATAATATGTTTGATCTATTTTGGATGAAATACAAAGGAGGACTGAAACCGTATATTTCGAAGTCGGAAGACCATTGCCTTCCGATTTATTGTACGGGGACATCGGTGACATGGAGGACACGCAAACTCTACCGATTAAGTTAGTTTCCCGCTACACAAATACACGCACAGATAATTACAATGCGCTAAAAGATCAAGGATTTCACGGTAGGAATTTCCTATGCATTGACATGAAATATTAATCTTATACTGAATTCTGTAATTATAGCAACATATATTGGTACTATGTTTCATAAAGTAGTATGATTTATCGAGCCGCATAAATAGTTGAACGATAAATTTTCTTACATTAATGCTTCTGTCAAAAGATATAAATTTAATCATTGTATTATATTAAATCGATTATAGAACAAGTATTTACATAAATTTTATGATGTATAATAAATATTAAATTTTTTATTTTGTTGCAAGAATATAATTATAATAAAAAAATAATTTTTTTCAATATTTAAGATAATTATTATTATATATTTTATTATCTTAAGTACAACATATTTAATTTTTTTATTTGATTTTTATATTTTGATATTTTATTTTGATGATTATATTTTATTTAATATACATTATATAAATTATTATATAATACATTATTATTAATATATATAATAATTTATAATAATAACAATATATATAATAATTTAATAATATTTAATAATATATTAATAATGTAAATTATTAATGATTATTATAATATAATATTATAATATTAATTACAATATACATCATTAAAATACATTTTTTTTTTTAAATTATTACATTGATTTTATCATATTTATATAGAACAAGAAGAATATTCATGCTTATGAAATTTACTTCTATTTCATATATAATATTATAATTATAAAATAGCACAAAACATACTTTAAATAAGTTTAATTTATTGCAAATACTATTAAAATTGTATAATATTTTTTTTAAATAAAAATTTACAATGAATAGAATAAGAAATAATAAATTTAAGCATTCAAATTTATAATATTTATATATTTAGAAAATTTTTTAAATAAATTTCAAGAAATCCATTTATTATATTATTCATTAATTTTATATTTTATATAATAAAATACTTTATATAATTCTTGTCATATACAATTAAATACATACAAAAAAAATTATTTTATTTAAATATATGTTTAATTATATGTAAGATTTTTTATTATTTTCTAAATAAAAAAACTTTGATGTTACTTACATGTCAATTTAAATAATATTGCAGTTCGATTGTAGATGACGCTACTATCAAGTGGTTGAAATTTACGAACCCACCATTATATTTTTATGGCAATTTTCATAACAATAATGAATACACTTTGTTGGAAACAATACATTGATTGATATAATTATATTTGTAATTCCTTTTAATGATAATTTTTTATCTAAAGTGTATATAAGTTTGTAATATGTTTTTTATTAATAATAATATTATTTTTTGAAATATTGTGAAATATTTAAAATTTTAAAATATATATATATATTAAAAATTCAACAAGATTCATTTTATCACATTTTAAATATTATAACATCGTAACTTCTCAAATACGTTAAAACTATGGTTAAAACACAAATTAATACAGTGCTACCAATATAATAATTATTTTTATTTTATATTATATGTTTAATTTATTTATTATTTATTAATTTATTTATTTCAATATTTCATTATATTAAATAAATTCTTATAATTTATATTTTATATAAAAATAAAAATAAAGAAAAAATATATAAAAATCTTGAAACCAATTTAGGGTTATTTAGTTTTATAACTTTAACTCATTAAAATGAAAGGTTAATTAATCATATAATCATCAATTTATACACTTTACAAACACATTTAACATCAATAATACAAATAAAATTTAATTTTAATTTTGATTATATCATTAACATATGTTTTAAACATAAATGCTAGAGTTCGTTTTTCACTTTTCTCTTACTCTCCCCTCCTTTCCTACCATTTCCTTATCTGAATCAGCTGATTATTGTTTTCGTATTTCCTACGAAACAGACCGTTGCCGTAGTTATGATACGTGATACCTTTTAACGAACGATCTTTCGGAACATCCCCGTCGGCGCGTCGAAACAGCCAACAGATTAGACAATCTATCGCAAGAAGGAATACTACCGACGCGCTTAAATATTTCCAACATAAAGATTGACGTTTCGCGGGCGGGGTGACATCACTATTTTCTGGTTGTGTTGTAGTTGTTCAGTCACTCATAGAATGACGCAGTAGAAGGTCGTCTCAGAGATGGCGAGCTTCCCAGTATGAAAATACAATTTTATGGCGAGGTAAATTGAAGATTATGTTTTCTGTTAATTAAAAATACTATCAAAACGTAGATATTTTTTCATAAGATAAATGATAACAACATCAGAGAGAAGCGTTAGTTTTGTTGTGGAAAAACTGCCTTCTACCCCTTTGTTCGATGAAATGTCAGGGTCGCTATTTTGATATATCAAAATGTTAATTTATATACTTCATTTTTAATATATTCATATCATTCTGATGATAATTATTCAGATTTTTGTTTTATTTTCGTTTTGATATTTGTGTTTGCTTTTTATTAATTGTCTCTAAATGTATACGACGAACAGCTGTAGTGGATTGTGTAATATTCTTTAACAGGCAAAATAGATTCTCCCACTACTTTTCTATTACTCATTTTCGTATTATCAGATATACAGATAATATTTCGTAAATTTCGTTGTATAAATAATGATATTACAATTAATTATTAATTTTTTTGCTTCACTTGATTTTTTGTTGTATTGTTATTAATAAAAATATATATTTTACATACATTTGATATTTACTATATTTATAAATTAATTTTTAATATGTAATATATAGAGATTTTTTTATATTACTATTTTTTTTTTTTTTTGATTAATTATTGCTTCAAAAATATCTATTTTATATTAATATGTATTTATAAGTTTATTAATATTATTTTAAGTAATGATATATTGCGAATTTATATTATTTAAATTAATGTAAAATTATAATAAAATCAGATATTTTATAATAAAATCATTTATTTACATATTTGTTTATATTTTTATATTAATGAATATAATAAACATTAAAATTTTTTTATATAATCATAAAATATATAATTTTTATTATTATTTAATTAAAAAAAAGAAGAAAGAATTTTTTAAAGAATAAGAATTTTTAGAAATTTTATTTGATATATTAATACAGTAAATTAAAATATAAATTACCAATGTATAAATAATATTATTCATTATTTATAGGTAAAAATATTTTGTTTGGGAAGAAAAAATGTCTGCAGACTCTCCAAGGCGTGGTGTGCATAAAGGAGTTCAAATTGTGTCACCTCAGCCAATAGTTGATCGTTCAATTATAGATAGTGTTGCAGGAATAATTAATGATATTGTTCCACAGGTTGGTATATTAAAATGTTCTTCTGGTAATTTTTTATATTAAAGTTTTTTATAATATATTGTTTAATATAGGCTTATACGGGCACACCAAATTCTGAAAACAAAGAGTCTATTTCATGGGCACGGTTTGAGTATGCAGACATTAATGATCCTGCCTTGTATCCAGATTACAATGAAGGCTCTAATACACCACCTTTATTATTGGTGCTTGGTTATACAACTGGAGTTCAGGTTTGATCTTGTTTAATTATTTTTTTTCATTAAGTAGTTATATTACTTGTGCATTGAAAAATTTTTGTATTAAAATAATTTCGTAATTTTTTGTGTTTTTTATAAAAATTATTTGTAACTTAAATAATTTTGTAAAAAAATAAAAAATAAATTTAAAAGAATATATATGAATATACAAATATATATAAATATAGTATGTTAAATAGTTATTTCCAATTTAAGTGTATGAATTAGATATTAAATATGAAAAGATTTTATAGATTTATCATATTATTTTTAATTATAGAACACTGTTCTCATAGTAGCTTTAAAACTGTGTCTGTGTTTATGAATGACTTGAATCTTATTTTATCTAGGAGGCATAATATGTAAACAAGCACATTCATTATCAAAATAACAAGGTACATGTAGTTTGCAGAGATAATAATATGATATTTGAAGTTTGATGATATAAAAGAATTTATATATTTAAGTTGAATTTCTAAGATTTTAATTTTTTGTTTACAAAACTCATATAAATACATAGCATAATGTTATCTTATATCGTAATGTCATATTTTTATGTTATTATATATAATTTTTATGTTAAGTATAAAAATATATGTGAAGTATTATTTTAATAACTTTTATCGAATATAGGTATGGTTGATAGCAGCAACAGGAGAAGCAACTGAAGTTTTATCATGGCGACAAGGAGTTGTCCGCACTTTAAGAATTTTACCAAATCCAAAGACTGATGATGAACATGTTGATTTATTTGAATTGAAACGACCCATGGTAGCAATATGCGATTCAGCTGGACCTGGCCCACAATTTTGCAACATTAGTTTTATTTCATTGAAAACTGGGGAACAAACAAAAAGCATTAATTTAAAAATCCTGTTTGTGACATTTTGGCAAATAAACGATCTATAGTCGTAACGTTTTTAGAGAAAATCGCGGTGTTCGATGCTCGAACATTGGAAGATGTATTAACAGTTACTACCTGTTATGCCAGTCCTGGTCCAAATCCAAATCCTATTGCTTTAGGATCGCGATGGCTTGCTTACAGGTAACAATCTTGAAAAAATAATAAGATATTAAAATTATGTTTGTTATGTTTTGTTTTAATAAAAAATATTTTTAGTGAAAAGAAATTATTACCTGTAAAAAGAAGTAGTGGTGGTTGTGAAGGTGAAGGAGTTCAAAGTTACACAGCAACTGTTCTGTACGCAGCAAAGTCTTTAGGAAAAGGTTTGCGTGGTTTGGGAGAAACAGTTGCATCAAGTTTAACTGGTAATTCAGTATCACCAGTAGTAATTAATAATACGGGCAGTGATCTAACTCAACCAGGAGTAATTACGATATTAGATCTTCAAGCTGCAAAAGAGGAAAAAGAGTTAGATGATGCGAATATAGAGACTGTCATTGCTCATTTTACTGCCCATAGTGATGCAATCGTTGCCATGACTTTTGATTTAAGCGGTGCGTTGCTAATGACCGCTGACAAAAGAGGGCATGATTTTCATGTATTTAGAATTCAACCACATCCAGGTGGTCCCACTTTGGCAGCAGTACATCATTTATACATACTGCACCGCGGAGATACTACTGCGAAAGTGCAGGTATATAAATTAAATTTGATATCTATAATTTTAAAAATTGTTGAAAATATATAATTTTAAATTGAAAATATATATATTATGTAAAACAGGATATGGTTTTTTCGAGTGATACTCGTTGGGCGGCAATTTCGACTGTGCGGGGTACTACTCATGTTTTTCCTGTTGCACCATATGGTGGACCAGTAGGAATACGAACTCATTCCACACCTCATGTTGTAAATAGACTTTCAAGATTTCATAGAAGTGCAGGTTTAATGGACGATGGTACTAGATCTCATTCTCCTGTATCTCATACAGAATTACCTTTGTCAATTTATCCATACTCTAATCCAAGACTTCCTCCATACCCTCATCCAACTGTATTACATCCCTTGGCACAGATACGACAACCATCGTCGTTAAATCACGTAAACAGTCAAGCTCAACAGAGGTAATTATTATTTATCGAATTTATTATTGTTACATTTTGTAAACATATTTAATTCTTATATTACGTAGTAGGCCGCAGCAACGACAACGATTATATTCGGATGATAGTGGAACATTACCATTAAAAATATGTGCTTGTTTTGCACCTCCAAGAGCTTGGATGTATGCACAAAGAGAATCTACTGTGAAAGTTATGAAAAGAGCAGTTGATTCTTTGTTTATTATGGCGTGTCATGGAAATATGATACAATATGATTTAGAACCTAAACCAGTTGCAGGTAAATAAAATTAATTTATATAATCAAATTTTATTAAGTCTTAATATATATTAAATATTATTACTTAATAATGATATATTTTAGGTGTACCAAAAGAAAAAGTATGCGACGATACGATGATAGAATTAGAAGTCGAAGCTAAAGGTCAATGGCCCCTTTTAAGATCTCCGAATTCTTTAGAGATTGTGCCACCTTTACCAACGTCTAGCTCTTTACTGAGCGTCAATACTATACCAAAAGATATTCAAGATGGTGATTTAGCAGAAGATCGTTGGTTAAGTCAAGTAGAAATTGTAACACACGCTGGCCCACATAGACGACTTTGGATGGGCCCTCAATTTGTTTTTAAGACTTACAACGCAACTAGTGGGTTAGTTTCATATATTTTATATATATATATACACACATTTATTAATTACATATATTTTATGTAATATTATATAATGTAGAGCTCCTGTAAATCTTGTCGAAGCTGAGGCTGTTGAAATTGGCATAACCGGTGGATCTCGTCCTGCGAGATCGAATCCAGTCAATATGCCACATGCTGCATCCAGATCTTTGGTACCTGTCGTTATCGATGGATCAGGAAGTAAGTTTATAAAAGTATTAAATTTTCATATTTTTATTTTGTTGATTGATATTTGAGAGAGAAATTCATCGAAGATCGAAATTTAATGAGATATTTTTCAATTTGAATATTTCTTTTTTCATATATACGTTTGTAGATTTATAGTTTCATACATTTTAATTTATTTATGCATACATTCGTTCAAACATTCGTTCTAAATTTTTTTATATAGATTATTAAATCAAAAGCATAATCTATAAATGAAAATAAAAAAGAATAATATTTAATATTTTACTATGAATATTTTATTTCAAATTATTTCAAAATTATAAAGTAATAGAAAGTAATTTTTGATAAAATTCATGTCGAATTTTTCGTATTTAGGTAGTTACGAGCAATCTCCAAGATTCATGGAGGCGTATGGTGATCCCCTAGATAGTGAAAATGCGGGTGTTGGTGGTGAAAATCAATTGAGAGAAGATCTGGCTGAAGCTATGTTGGAAACATCAATAGCTCCGCATCGTGCACCAGGTAAGTAATCATAAAAAGTGTGATGCTTTGCTTTGAAGTAGAAGAGTACGAATCCCGATATATCCCATTTGTCGATACTTCGCGAAATTTATATATATTATGACAATATTTAAAATTAACGAAATCATTTCGTGATGAATTCGATAATGGAAACGTGCATATTCTTGAATACTTGATACGCGATTTCGATACATTCTCAAAGTTACGGTTCTTATTATACAATCGTGGAAATCTTCTTGCTAAATGCAGTAAAGTTAATCGTGGATAAATTGATTTTAATTTTTCCCTCCGAAAATCCTGATTATAATTAAAAAAAAAAAAAACAAATTGGAAAATATAAAATTTTATCCTATAATTTTATCACTCGAATTTAAAAGTGTATTTTAAAAGAATTTTTTAAAAGTACGTATTTTTAAATACCGATACGATGCTCATGCTTTCTGTATTTGGTGACGGATGATAGATTGTAAGTTTGTGTGGATACAGAACTGGCCAGAGGCAGGTATCTCCGTTTCCCCCCCTCCCCTTTAATGATATTACATCTAATCACTAACAGCAGTACATTTGATCAACATCTACCCTTTAAATCGAGGTAAATAGTTGAAAGGCTGCGATCAGTCTACTAACCCTGTAAGAATCTTTTTCCTTTTGAAATTCCAATAAAAGATACGAGAATAAAATCATTATATATAGTTCGAAGAAGGCAATTGTTCGAACTTGCTCTCTTTACAACATATCATTCGATTTCGATACGTATATTGCGACGTGAAGTTTGTGTTTTTGTGGTGTGCAGTGTGAAGACTCGGATACAATTGTCAATTGTCTTATTATTAGAAGTTACGATTAATATATATACATACATATATATATATATACACATTTATTTCTCTTTATTTCTCTCATGTTTTTCCTCCGTAATTCTGCTATTCCCTCACGATGCAACATTTGAATATAATTATTCGAATATATCACTTGAATCTCCTCCTTTTTTTTTCGTCGAGCCGTTATCGAGAACAATCATACCTAATTATACATATCTTAATTAAGGCGATGCATTCTCGCGTAAAAAAAAAAAAAAAAAAACGAAAAGAAGGAAAAGATAATAATAATAACAATAATAATAATAATAATAATAATAATAATAATAATAATAATAATGATAAAAAAACAGAAAATTAAACAAAGGAGATATTGTGTCTCGATATTGATACCTGCCAATGGCTTTTTCTGTTACTAGGGAGGCGATCGGTATTTGAGAGGGTGGGTCAACCGGTAACTAAAGTCGTCAACCCTCTGGGCACCGTGATTACCGTATCGGCCGATGAGGAGGACATTAGCTCGAGTCAGGAGTTCGATTCCGCGGAGGAGAGCCACATGCCTGAACCACCTAGGAGCGTGTGCGCCGAAGAGGGCCCGGCTTCTCTCGGTGATTTCGAGCCGGAGAGTCAAACTCTGCGTAGTCTCACCAAAATCTGCGCGGAAATGCGTTCAGCTAGCGAGCCGGCGATCGACAGTGTTCCAGACGAGAACATCTGTGAGGTGAAAGAGAGGAAAACTTTATGCGTCGAGATCGCCTCCATCACGAATCCGGGAAATTCTACCATCGACTTCGAAAGGGTAGAAGCTTTCCGCGATGTGCCGACCGGATTGAACCTTTGCGTGGAGCAGGGTGAGATCCCTAGCAGCCCCATGACCCAGGCGAAGGAAACCGCTTGGTACAAGAAACTTAATAAGAGGGAAGACAGGGATGCCCACGAGAGAAGCGTGTCCGAGGCGCAATACGTGGTCAGCTGTGACGAGGATAGCGTCGTGTTGATGGAGAATAAGGCGGCCCAAGGACGGAAGACCGCCTCGACGCATTGCAAGGCGGAGAGCAAAAGAGCTAGCGAGCATGAAAAAGTCGCGAAGAAATCGGGGAGGAACGGTACGACGTCTGGGAAACGGGCAGACGCTAAGACACCTACTAAAAGATACGTTTTAAAGGAGCACGAGGATAGCATCGTTATCGAGGATACTTGCAGCGACTCGAGCAGTAGTTGCGGTAAGAAAAGAGGGTGCGAGAAGATGGAGGATACGAGGGGCAAACATTGTGAGCACAAGGGCGGGGAATCGTCGAAGGAAAACGGGACTGGAAAGGTTAAAAGCAGGTCGAAGTCTTCCACGGTTCATAACAGTTGCAAAGAAACGTGCGAGGAAAGCAAAAATTCTGTTAAACACGTAGAATCGATCATAGAACTGGATTCTATAACGGAAGAAACGGACAAGAGGGAAGATTTCAAGTCGAGCCTTAACGTGGACGTGTTGATCAAAGAGATGGATAAGTATAAATCACCTCCATCGGACTCGACCGACGATTTCAGTTGCAGCGAGTATCACATCGTCGATGCGCCTTGTTGCAACAAGGATGGCACTTCGGTACAATCCGACGAGGATATCGAGCATATCCAGAGCTCGGAGATCTCCCAGTTGCAGCAAGCCGAATGCATGGACGGTGACAAATGCGTAGATGTGATAAGCTGCGCGGGCTCCTCGCCCATTATGCAGAGGAAGAATAGCAAGAACACGATATCCGACGACGACATAGAATACATACATTCGTCAGAGGTGGAGACGCCTGAGAAAGCTTGCAAAGAGGACACGAGATTCGAAACGAGTAAAGGTAGCAGCGACAGCGAGTCGACCGGGGCGAGATGCAAACTAACATTTTCTGACGACGATTTGGAACACGTACACCATTCGGACGTCTACGCTTTATTGCCTGAAAAATCTAAGGAGACTCGTGAAAGGAGCGCGAGAAGGTCTCACGAGATTTCGACAACGGAGCAGCAACAACAACAACAACAACAAGGGTCGAGAATCAAGAGCTCGAAGAAGTCGAAGGATATCGTGGTGATCGAGAGTGACACGTCTGCGGCTGACGTGACCGTGATCTTTAAACCGGTCGAGAGTTGGAAGAGCAAGGGTACGGAGAGGAAAGATGAAGGGGAGGAGGCTGGCCTTATTATGAAAGATATTCCGGCTAGCGAAAATCCAAGTCCGTTGAAGAAAGCCAAGATTCGTCCTGTTAAAACGTCCCCTTCGAACGTTGCCCCCAAACGATCGCAGGCAGGAATCGAGATAATCGACATCGATGCCATGCAAAAAGCCGAGATGGACGTATTGGCCGACACAGCGTCGGTGTCGGAGTGCAAAATCCTTGCTGGACCCGAGCTGTGCGGGACGCGCGCTAGAAAATCTCGAAGGAATAAAAAGGCGAGCAACGAAGGTAAGGAAGCGCATAGCTCCGAGATTCTTATCGAGGCTGTGAAAACTGTCGAAGAAACTGGGAAGGAATCGGGTTCGCAGGAGGTTGAATTCTCCTGGAGCGCTGTGGTGAAGAAAAAAAGCGGTTCTCCCGAGCCGGAAACGCGGAAAGAAAGAGAAGAACTAGAAGAAGAAGGAGAAGAAGAGGAAGAGGAGGAAGAGGAAGAGGAAGAGGAAAAGAAGAAGAAGATGGAGAGGGATAAGGTAAAGCAAAGCTCGTTCGAGGTCTCGCCCATCCTCGAGAAGATAGAATCTTTGAAGAAGAAGATACACGAATCTTCGTTGAGAAAAAGTCTGGACAAAAAGAGTTGCGTTTTAGAGACGTACCCCGAAGAGTCTTCCGTTCAGAGTTCCGAGATTTCGTGGAGCTCGATCGTCAAAAAGAAAAATATATCCTCCGCCGACTTGGAGACGAGAAAGGAGCCCGAGCTCGATCCGATCGTTGAGGAATCGAGTGTCGAGGAGAGGAAAACTCATCGAAAACGCGTCGAATCTTCGTCGCAATCCCTCTCAGCGATGGGAGGAGGTCAATCGAAAGAGACGGGAAGAAGCGTGGAAGAATCTTTTGATCAGGTTGCGACGGAAGGAGTTTCGTCGTGGAGTTTCATCGTGAAGAAGAAGGCGACAGCCACCGCGGAAACGGTGACTCGAAAGGAACACGTCGAGCAGAAATCTCAGAGGAAATTGGATCTAATGACCATTGACTCGTTGGAGATTATCTCGGATCGTGAAACGAAATCGGATAACCGATCGTCCTCGAGTAAAAGTTCGGAGAAGATCTCGAAGCTGGAGACTGTAAGCGAGATGGACGAAAAGGGTTCGAAGAATTGGAGCGTGGAGTCGTTGCTGGTCGACCCGGTGTTCACGAAGGAAGACTCCTCGGAGCCGGAACGGGACACCGAGCCTGAGAAGAGGAGTGATTCGGAGCAGGAGATCGTGCCGGAGCGTTCGAGCTCCTCGGACGAGTTGAACGCGAATGTTGTGTTCACGAACAACGAGGGAGAGTATTCGGGTCGCGAGGTCGCCGATAGGGGTGCAACGAACGGTTCGAGCTCGGTGCCCGGCACGAAGAAGAGCAACAGGTCGAAGAAAAAAAAACGCAGATGAGTAGAGGATTGCATGGATGTACCTAGGGCCAGCCTTGCCCTTTACATGCTCTTGATGCAAGTAACCGGGGTCGATTAGCATAAACTAGCATTAAATCCGAATATTAAAGAAAGAAAAAAAGAAAAAATGTTTAGAGTGTACGAACTGGGAACAAATTGCGCTTTCGATTCTCAGTGGTCAATCGAGCGATCAAGACGTAAGGTCTTGGCTTTATTAAAGAGCGTTTATCTTAGAGTACATGTATCATATTATAATCACCTTGTTAGGGAATGAAATCTTCAATTCTATTTTGATCGAACGACGCGTTCTCTCGCATCGGATTTGGTATTTTTAAAAACCTTTTTCTAAAATGACTAGATTGAGAAAAGGAGGAAAAGAAAAGAAAAGAAATAAAGAGATTAATTAATTAATTGATTTATCAGTACAAAAATTTTTTAGACGTATATTCGGTGGAATTTCTTAATTGAAAAGAGCAAGGCTGTTACTATTGAGTGTACATCCGCTGACGTTCGAGTCGAATGCGTGAAGCTAAAAGTAAGAAAAGGAAAAAAAAAAAAAAAAGGGAAACAATACACATAGCCACACGCATACTTTACACACACGTAGAATTTTTCGAAACGAAACTTCTGTGTACATAGATATATGAAACAAGATCAAAAAAANAAAAAAAAAAAAAGGAAGAAAAAACGGAAAAAAGAAAAGAAAAAAAAGAAACACCGTCTGTGGTTCGAACAGTTTCATAGCGATTTCTGTTTCGACTGCCTTATATCATTGTCAAACGAGAATCCGCTGTGCGTTTGTCCGCGTGATGCATAACGAGAGAAGTGTTATAAGCTTTTTATTACGATCGACGAAATTCAAACGAAACGAACGAATCGATTCGCGACCATTCATCGATAATTTGGCAATTTTTTAGACTTTAGATAGTTACTATTTATAGCATTATAGCAATTGCCTTTCATTTTTATTCATACGGTTATGAATAGAGATTACAAAGGGATATTCAGCTTGTTTTAGTTCCTAGCGTTTTCTTTTTCATCAAATCAAATGGAAATAATATGGAGCGTAAAAGCTGTGATAAATTTAATAAATTCCCTTCGTATTTACATTTGAGTAGTATTGAATGCTTGTGTTAAGAAGTTTATTGAATAATAACTCACTTTGGAGAGAAGCTTACCTTTTAGAAGCTTATTGAACTTTAATAATTGTTATATGGTATCACTCTTATGTAACCCAACTGTATATATCTTGAGATTAATGTAACTTTTTTTTTTTTTTTATTGAAATTTAATTCTACTTCTTCTCATACGTATCGTGAAATACGTATAATAAATTTTCCATTAAATTTGTTTAAATACGAAATCATAACTTTTCTTTAATGAATAGAAGAATTTGACTAAGAAAAGAAAAGAAAAAAAAGATACGCTAGGAACTAGAGACACGAACATCCTGCATACGATTACATGTTCAGCACAAAGCTATTCGTCTCTGTACAAAAATATGTCCAATCGAAATCGTCGCGTTTGTCTCTATTTTTTGTATCCGCTGTCGAGACATGCTTTCCATGAAAGCCATTCGTAATATGATTTCATGGATCTGGAGGAAATTCTTTCGAAGAATTGCCAACAAACAGCCGTTTATTCCTGACTAGTATTCCGGCTGTTCCGAGCTCTCCTCGAATTTTCATGGGTTCTGTATGCGATGATTTTGTATATCACGAGGAAAAAGATCGATAAAAAAAAAAAAGAAAAGGTTGAGCTTCGTTAAAGATGGCGTATAGATCGAGACACAATTGTTGAAAACATTTTGTTTTAATAATTAAACGAGTGAATAATAATTTCTCTGGAAGATTGCAAATTGGTTTTATAATTCACTTTGTTTTAAATTCACTTGTATTTATTTCGTTTTAATTCATCTATTGCTAGTCAGTAAAATATTAGGTTAAATCATTTTTTTTTTTCAATTTAATTTATATCATCGAACTCCTTTCGATATTGCGAATATGAAAGAGATAATACATAATGTATACTTTTTATTTTTTTATTTTTTTCTATCTAAATTTAAGTAGAGATTAAAGTATTTATACGAAGCAATGATCTTTTATGGATTTCTATTTATTTAATGAACTTCTGGAAAGTATTTATTACATTAGTAAAGAATTGTGTTAGAAAAAAGATAAAAAATATTTCATTTAATAAGTATTTTACAGTATTAACAAAAATATGGATACACAATATTTTTCTCATTTTTAGAATGAGATGAATCGATTTAAAAATATTTTTACCTCTAATCTGAACTTAGAAAAGAATTCAGTCTATTATTAATATAATTGTATTCTTATGCTCTGTACGCCACATTCGCATTCACACGAAGCTCAGCCATATTAACATAATTGATAGTACATCGAAAGTACAGGTATACTTTTATAAAAACTTGCAACACGCAGATTTTTCTTCTTTATGGATCATCAAGTTTGTTTTTCATTCTTGTCGATCGTTAATATCGATAAACCGAAAAATCTTCTTTAGTAATCAATAATTATATATATATAAAAAGAAGGAAAAAGAAAAACGATATGTCGACGCTGATGAGATATATAAAAAGGCGTGTCATAGAAGAGTATACCTAATTTTCGTTACGTTACGTGCCACGTATTATATATATAAAATATTTTGCAAAAGAAATAATCATGCTTTAAATCCAAAGGATTTTAATTGATTTGTGATGCGAAACAGGACGGAAACCTGTTTGACATCTACTTTATCGTTAATCTTCGATCATATATAAATTCTAATCTAATATATTGATTGGACCTTTGTCCTGTTACGATTGATGTGTATAAAATTACAATCGTATTTCTTGCATTGTACATGAGCAAGAATTTAAAAAAAAAAAAAAAAAAAGAAAAAAAGAAACAAGATTCTGTTTACACCTGTTTTCAGAATCTCGTTTCATTACACTTAGGTAATTTTCTTCTCTTTAATTTTCGTATCCTGTTCAGGTACACGAGATATGTTCTTCGTCCTCTTCGAAAGCTTTTCGAGTTAAAAAATACTCGATACTCTTTTAATAGTTTCTGTTAATCGATGCAACAAATTGAATTTCCGCTCGTTAATCGGTGTGAATCATCGATGATTACACGTAATCGCGCGTTAGATTTCACTGGCTCTAGACACTTCGAAATTGTAAATACTCTTAACCCTCGATACATCTTCGAAAAAAAAAAAAACTTCCAAAAAATCTTTTTCGATACAATCTTCTTCTTTAGCTCTAGATAGCTCAAGCTAGATCACACTAGAAAGGATAAATAATGGCGTATCGTATATATTTTTGACACGTTTCTTCATCTTCTGAATTATCCTGTTTGGAATAATTGCGTATTGTGAACCAGGCGATTTTAAGGAACTTTGGAAAAAAAAAAAAAAGAAGGAATTCCTGAAGGAGCCAAAGATAGGTTGTGATCGATTAATGAACGAAAGGAAAAAAAAAGAAAAAAAAAATTGGGATTATAGTTTCATTATCAGCATCGTAACCATCTGTGCGACGAGCAATTTTTCGAAATAAAATTCTTCTGTGCCGCAGAATTGTCCGTTTAATTTTACGGAGAAGCTGTTGGTATATCGTGGATAGCGAGAATATGTTAGAACAATTTAAAATATACGCTTATTGCGTGAATCGGAAAGCATCGATTTGCGATTCTCACATTTTATTTAATTAATAATTTGGAGACAAGGTTTTCATTGTGCGTAATTGCACTGGTTTACGAAATATTTTTTTTATTTTTATCACGTAAGGTTAATAATTTAATTTTTAATCTTATGAAATTTAATAGCTAATGAACCGTCAGCGATCGCTATTGATGTTGAAATATTTGGCTTAAGGAACATTCCGTTTGAACGCGAATACAAATTAAATTCCTCGTACATATCGCATAATGTTATTGAATTATAATCGAATATAAAGTGAAAAATTAATAATCAATAATAAAACGATGGAGAAAATCTGAATTGAAATTCAAATCGAAACTCAGTGAGAAGATATATAAGGATCGGTGCAATATTCACTGTGACCATCATTTATAGAACATCTTGTACAACAAAAAATGAAAAAGAGAAACTTCCTTCTAAAAACCTCCAATGAAGATCTTCGACTCCGTTTCTTAGTACAATCTCCTTCTGTGTACGTTTCTCTGTTAGTTTGTATAAATCATCGTGCCCTTATTATATGTTATATGTTTCCTTTCAGAGAAATCTTTCGATCGAAATCTCTGATATTCCTTTTTCTTTTTAATCTTCTAATCTTTTTCTCCGATCGATTGAAACCTTCTCTTTCGTGTTTATTAGAGAGTATCGAGCAAAAAATCGATTGTTCGTTTACATAGATTATATAAATATATATATAATAGTATAAATATATATATACATAACTCGTTAGAGTTTGTTGTTAGTACAAATGGAAAACGACGAGATCTTTTCGATCGGACAAAGATCTCTTTTCGGAGATTTAGCCGTGAGATATTTAGTACAAAGCTTATAATCGTCACTTTCGTCCTCGTAAGTGCTGTGATTATGTTTTGTGATTCGCTGTGTTTATTCACTGCTACGTCGAGAGAAACGAGTAGCCATAATTATATATTTTTTTTGTTTTATTTCTTATATGTATATATATACATACATATATTCTTTTTCGCGTTGAAAAACGATTAAAAATCTTGAAAGCATATGCTATACTTTCAATATGTGGTTTATAAGTTCTTAAAGCGAAATTTTAAGAATGATTTCTTTAGTTATTTTATAAAGAGAAAGAGTTTTAGGAAATCTAGCTGTTAGAATTAAACGAATTTATTTTTACCGACTAGAAGAATAATTGTTTGTAGTAACAATATTTATAGTAATCATTTATCACGTGTACGCAATCGATATATTTTAGAGTTAAGTTATTTGTATTCTTTATTGCTACTTGATTTTCTCTGTATTATTTTTTTATTTTATTGTGTGTTTTTAATTTTTCTCCATTTCACATTTTTATTGCACATTTTGCTAAGCATGCGGCAAAATATAATAAAATCGTGCTAAAATATGGCTCAAACTTTTAAGATTTTCACTTGAAAATTGTCAATGATGATCATGATATTGAAAAGAAGAAAAAAAAAAATAACAAAATAAGATATAACTGATTATAGCAGTTAATTATCTTAAAAAAATAATATGAAACAATATGTCTTCGTGTGATTTAATTAAAGTTTGTATTTCATGTATTAACAGTTTTTTCTAAAGTATGAAAAAAAAAAATAATTGCTTGAATGTGTAATAGAATGTTTTACGTAATTGAAACTTTATTTATTTAAGGATATATTTATCTTATAGAAATTATGTATGTTTTAATATATTTTTAATATATATTTAATAATCTTCACAAAATGACCAATTGACAAATTTTACAATACTAACAGTCAATTGATTTGTAATTTATTTAATTAATTTTAATTAAATAATAATATATTATAATTCATAGCACTTTTTAAGAATAGATGTAATTATTTTTCTTTAATTTATTTAACTACTTATAGAACTTTTTATAATTTTTCGTATTAACAAAAGTACTCTATTATTTCGGATATTTATTATTACGTGAATGGTATATTATATATATATATATATATATATCAATA